TTATTTCAATGCCATTAATGAAAGGCAGCGCAGGGGTGGGGATGGGGCAGGAGGGGAGCGGGTCTGTTCTGGCGCTGAAGGACGCGTGCACACAGGCATACAAATGCTAGGAGACAAAGACTGTGATTAAGGGCCGGTGCTCCGACTCCCTACTTATTATAGGAAAGGATTTATCTGATGGCCTAGTTTCAGCTCCAATTTTCCACCTTTTAATCAGGTTCCCAGGTCTGCTCGTCTACTCAAAAATGGGATGTCTTAGGGGCGAAAAGGCAGGAATAACGCTACGGTGCTGCCTCTAGAAACATGCATGGGGCAGAGGGTTTTGCTGCCCCAAAACCTTCCCAGGAGACAGCTCCTAGGGCAGCCAGAAGGATTATGCCCAGAAGGATTATGCCCAGCCACGCAGCATTATTTTCTGGCATGGCAAGAGTGCATCCATGCTTTCCAGCCTGACCAAACCAGGGTGTGTGGAACAAACGTGCTGGAAATAAAAACCTCCTGCAAAAATGGAAAATCTACAGAGGAGCAGCTATTTTTAAAAGGGACGGCACCTACTGCTGCTACGAAGTCAGTCACATAATCAGGCAGCAAGGGACTTCTGTAGGCTGACAGCTGACAGCCAGGAGAAACAGCTCTCGACAGATAGGCGAGAAGAAAATGGGAGCTTTTGGGTACCAAGACGTGCATCTTTTCAAATAAAGAGGAGAAGGTTGTCCTATGCTGCCCTGAGCATGAGGTGGATGGGGGGAAGCAGTCCTTGGTGTCTTTTCCAAGCTGCTGGAAAGTGGGGTGAGATGCTGATAACCCTCCAGGAGACAGAGTGCTGCAAGCTGCAATGCCAGCTCAGCCACGTTTTCCCCCACCCTAACCCAGCCTATCCTTATTGCCCAGCCTCCGTTGAGGTTTTCCTGCTTCTAAAAATATTCAGCCTCTAATTAAAACGCCCATCTTGCTTGCCAGGGCAAACGTATCCGGCCACAGAGCTGAGCTGGTCCTGGAAACAGCCAGAGCTTGCAGCTAACCAGCTTGGCCGGCTTTCCTGGCATGGGTGGCTCGGGCGATGTCTGACACCAGGGTTTCGTCCGTCACACCGTGTTATCAAGCTGACAGCAGCTTCAGGAAGCTGGCATGAGGGCTTCCTCAAATTTTCCAAGCCTGAAGCCACCATGTGCCTTTTCTTCCTCCATGGGGACATTTGTGCTATGTTTCAGGTGTCTGGGTGCCATGGTGGGGAGGGATGCATGCGTGGGCAACACAGGGTGCTCACGCTGCCAAGGGAGGCTTGCAAGTTTCTTCCCATGCAGAGGGCTTTGGAAAGGCTACGTGAATAACAGCAAAAAAAAAAAAAAAAAAAAAAAAAAAAAAAAAAAAAAATAGCAAAATGAGAAGAAGTTAAGGCAAGGGGGCAAAGGAGGGCTGGTAGGGACAAGGTCCAGCACAGCGCTGGAGCATCATATGCGTGGGGCATTCATGTGGAAGTGGGAGAAGCCAGCTTCAGACCTGTTGCCTCCTGGACAGTGTCCATCCCCTTCCAGACCAGGACAGCAGGACACTCTCCACTGCTCCAGCTGAGCCTGTTGTTTCAGGGAAGGAGGGACCCCACCCAGGAGGACCATGGCGGTATGGCCAAATGGTCACAGCATGTGATGGTGGACACCAGAGGAGCAGTCCTCTCTAAGGGTTGGTGATGGCTTTCCTCCTATAGTCCATAACAGTGCTGGGAGCAGGATCCGGCCTCTCCTGGAGATATCTGCCCCCAGGTTATAGTCTGACTGTACCTTGCATGACATCCTCAGGGCAGTTTTGGGAGGCAGATGGAGAACCAACAGCCTCTTCCAGGCAGCGTGCAGCCCTGCCTGCTTCGATGGAAGATGCAGTTGTTCCTTCAGGCTTGGGAGGACCAGGAACGCTGCAGCTTCCCGGGGGTGGTTTCCTCACTAGTTGTCTGCTTGCATCACTTTTACACGCAGCACCAAGAAGTGCTTAAAATTACATTTGCTATTTAAGAGCAGGCAAAGTCCTCCTGAGATGTTTCTATTAATTCTTTAGTTGCAATGGCTCTGCATGGCCTTAGCCCTCCACGCCACAGCCCCAACTCCTCGGAGAGTGGTGCTGAAGCTGGACCACGTGTATCCCAGAGCCGAAAGCTCTGCGGTCTGGCAGCGGGCAGCTTTCCATGCCGTGGCATCGCTCCTGCACCCGTTTGCTTCCTCCCACCCCCACAGTCTTGTGAAACAGCTCGTGGGCTCTCCCTGCATCACCCACTCTGCAAATCCAGCCTTTCAACCCTAGCACACCATGTCCCAGATTGGCCAAATCCATGAAGAGATCCCCACCATCTCTGACAAGCTTTGGAGCAGATCTTGGAGGAGGAAATTTGCTCCAGATACTCTTGTGCTGCTTCACTGCCACGTGTCCATAATTTCCGTTGAGTCAGCCAGTGGAGCTCACAAGCCTTTCTCCCAGCGAGAAGCCCAGCGAGCCAAACACAGCGGGACAAATCCTGCCCCCAGTTTGGAGATGCAACACTCGGGAGGCTGGCGGGGCCGAGCAGAGCAAGGAGAGAAGCCGTGTTGCACTTCAGACCCAGCGACAGCTGTCGCCCTCCCAGCAATAAATCCGGGGGATCTGGGTTTATTTTCCTCCAAATCACTTTATTATATTGTGAGTAATCACAAAGCCTTACAACGCTGCAGAGGTTCTTTAAAAAAAAAAACAACAACCAAAACCCACAAACTAACACAGCAATGGTATTTGCCAGCTTTTGCTGAGACTTATTTAGCTAGCAGCTAGCGTATGAGATTACACATGGAAATCTTGCAGTCTTCAATTGGATTGTCACACTGGATTTTAAATTTACCACAGCGGTGCAAAGACAGTAACTTCGACAGTATGTGAAACATTTCATCGACGTACAGACTTACAAAATTAAACAACTCTTTTAAAAAATTACGTTTTCTGCCAGCAGAAAAGAATTCTCTTAAAAAGGCAAGATCCGCTAAAAAAACACCTCCTCCCTCCCGAGCCTTGCCCTGCAGTTGGTTGCTGTTCCTCTCCAGATCCCAGCCTGCAGGCGGTCCCATTGCCTTTTTAAGAAAATCAATGTTTCTTGTGACTGTGAAGGCTGGTCAAGCATTGCAAAGGCTCAGCAGAGGGGGGAAGCCCCCAGAACTGAAAGAAAGGGTTAAAATCCCACCCTAAGATCCACTGAAAAGGAGATGGGTGAAAATGTGGGAGAGCGGTTTCAGTATCCCAAGTGAGGCGTTGACTCTGGCTTTTATGGGCTCAGTGGGTTACAACCATCCCTGGAGACAGCTTTGGGTTTCAATTTGCAGAGACCTTTGGGGGTGTGAGGATGAAGCCTGAGCTCCTCCCAACACTCCCAAAGAGGGTTGTGGGATGGGTTTTTATCTGCATCGCCTTTGCATGAGTGTCCCTAAACCAGCTTCAGACATTGAAGGTTGCCCTGATGCAAGGCTGGGTTTAGGAACCAAGCTGCACGCCAACCCAAGCAGGACCCCCATCCACCACATCCCTTCCTGTCCCCAGGACAGAACATGCCAGATGTGGCCCAGACCTCAGCAGACACCTCCACTGCAGGAGCTCCTACAAGCAGGTTGAAGGCTTCACAGATGGCATTGAGTCAACCTGTGCTGCCTTCCCCCACTTTCTCCTAGCCTGGAGAAGAAGGGGGATGAGAGGGGTTCACTTTGCCAGCATTTCAGCAATGGAGGGAAAAATGAGTAAGCCTCTGAGGACCAGGCTTTTCATCAGCTTTCGGTTGGCGTGCAAGGAGCTGTGCAAGAGGAAGTAAAACCACAACTCTGGAAAAAAAAAAACCCCGAAGATCTTTCCCCTGATAGGCAAAGCTCTCCAGGGTCACAGGCATCAGTGTTAATTCTTCCCCTGGCAGGTTCTGGAGAGTGTTTCGGCACTGGAAATTGCCTCGCACAAGCCCAGCTGAGTCACAGATGTTGTGTTCAGATGGGGGACATCAGCACAGAAACAGCTTACTCTCACGTCCTCCAGGTCTGTGTCTTGGTTTGATAAGGTCGTCAAGATGAGAATCCCTGTCAAGGTTTTATTCCAAGCTTCCCCAGAAAGGGAGAAGAGATCTTTTTTTCTTTTTCTTTTTTTTTTTTAAGTTAGGCTACATGATCTCTTCACTTGGCAGCTCAGTTAATTTGCTCCATTGGAGGCTGGTTCCTGGGTGAGATGCGGCTGTTGGCAGATCCTTCCGCTTCCCTTGCTCTGCTGCACATCATCTCTGAGCAATAGCTCGCTAAGCTTAGAAAGACAGGAGGTTGCCAAGGTTGGACCTGAAGTAATTTGACGTGAAAAGGATCGAGATGGGAAAACAGGGAGAAAACTGTGGGGAAAGTTCTCAACTTACTCAATGTTCATTGCACACCTATGCAAATAACATGTTAAAAAGCAGCACATTAGGAGCACCCTGCATTCAGGTTTGTCTGGAAATGTTTCTTCAAGACTGAAAGTGCATGACAGGGAACAGGGTGCTGCTAATGAAGGCAACATCCAGAAGGCACTTCTTGGGGAGTAATGATTAAAAAAAGGATGATGCTTGGGTTTGTAAGCAAGCAGCTATGGAGTCAGTACGTTTTGGTGTGCTCTCTGGAGAGACATAGCTTCGCTCCTACAAACGGGCCTGGGGCATGAAGGTTTGCTCCAGACCGGCTGTTCTGCCCTGGGACCTGCAGAGCAGCTTGGTCCCCGTTGTCCAGCATCACCACTCTTGACCTAACGGGTTGCATGCAGGACCTCAATGCACTGGGCAAAATCTGGAGCCTGCAGATGATGTGGGCCAGGATTTGAGAGTTTATAAAATCCACAAATAATCAAGTATCGGCATATACAAATATATAAATTATTGACAATTTTACAAAAGGCACACTGCAAGCCATCTCAGTCCGACACCTGTACAAATCCCGTGGCCCCCCACCCTCCCTTCCCCACCCAGGATGAGAAGTCCCCAGCTTTCATCACGAAACGTAAGGCGCTGCTGCTACGGACCCATGGCTGTCGTGGCAGCTGAGGACCTCCTTTTTGGTCAGCCCAATTTGTCGGTGGTACTGTCCTTCTTTGATGGTCTTAAGACACTGTATGTTCTTCCCCAAGGTGATGCTTTTGATGGAAGGCAGGTATTTCAGCACAGTCTTTGGCAAGGATGACACACCTGTCCCAGAGAGGTTGAGCTCTTGTAGGGAGTTCAGACCAAAGATAACTTCAGCAGTCAGTGCCTTCAGGTGAGGATTGCTGGATAAATCCAGGACTTGGAGGGCTGGAAGTTCCTTGAAGCTGTAAGAAGATAATGCTCCAAAGCCATGCAGGCTGCTGAGGGATAAATGAATCAAATCTTTCAGCCCCATGAAGTCTCCTTTCTCAATCTTGACTAGAGGGTTCCCGTCAAGATTTAAGTATCGGAGAGGAATCCCTTGAAGGTTTGGCACAGACGTTAGCCTGTTTCCAGAAAGATTTAAGTTCTGGATGTTGGGGATGCTCTTTTCACGGTGCCTCGTAATTGTGCTGAGCATATTATTGGATAGATCCACATTCAGGGGTTTTCCTTGACCTTTCGAAGCAAAAATGTCCATTGCTATATCCAAAAGCTTGTTATTGCTCAAATCTATCTCACCCAGAGGAGAACTGGAGAAACAGTCCTCTGGAAGGGCTTCCAGAGAGTTATGACTCAGATCCAAGGACTCCAGGTACCGAAGCCTGGAGAAGGTTGTGGAGGAAATCTTGGCAATTTTGTTGTAGCTCAGGTCGAGGCTCACCAAGGTGGTGTATCCAGGACCAGTAAGCATTGACTCATTGATTGTTTCCAGTTTGTTTGATGATAGATCCAAGTAGGAGGTATCCAGAGGGATTGGGACAGGAACAATGTGTGAGCCTATTCCACTGCAGTCTACCTTGGTCAAGCTAAAGCTGTCAAAGAGACCAAAGCTTTCCACTTCGCAGTGGCAGCCAGGGAAGCAGCTTTTGGTGGTACCAAAACAAGGAAGGAGAAGCAGCAAATTGAACCAGGCTAGGAACTGCATTGTTGACCTGGAAAACAAGACGATAAGAAAATGGATTTAATTGCCATAGAAATTACTTTACTGAAAATGTGTTAACAGTTTGAATCATGTAGTCTTCTCCTCTGTCTTTCTAAAGGGATTAAATATACCCTTAAATAGCATGGATGTCCCAAACACTTTGACTCTCATGGTGTGAACCCCACGGCGAACTTAATGGAGAAAAAAATACTGGGTTAACAGTCTTTGTGGCTATAAGCAAGTTAAGATGCAACTGGAAATTAGCTGTAAGAAGAGTAGTCTGCCTTAAAGCAAGATCTATCCAACGTGCATCCTTTTGACTGGACCAGGGAAGAAGCTAAATAACAGCTCAAACCCTGAGGTGCTTTACAGCCTGGCAAACTTCAGCACACAGAGGTCTTCATCTCAGGGCATCCCTGTGAGATTTGGGAGCTGTTTTGGGGGGGTTCAAGACCCTGCATTGGCAGGTTGGAGGAATCCTGTAGGCTGTGTGCCCAGTGGGAGCCTTAAGTGTCCCAAAACTTTATCAGGGAAGGAAAAACCAAAGCTCCGTTCAAATTTCCTACAGATGACATAGATAATGGCATCGTCAGAACATCCTCCAGGATGAACAGCTGGAAAGGCCAGCTGCCTCCTGCCCAAATGGACAGCACGTCTCCCTTGCTTAGACTTCAGATGCAAATTTAGAAGCGGGACCATTGCTTTATGTTCAGCTGGCTGAAAAAGAGGGCTAAACCCAACCCTCCCTGGGCTGGCGGCAGGCAGGACAGACAACGGCCGCTTGGCTCCTCGCCTGCCAAAGCAGAGGAACAAAGAGCTGCTCAGTCTAACCCAGACGCCGCGGTGGTGGGCTAGCGTCCCACACAGGCATCGAGCAGAGAGAGCCAATTTGTTTCATACAGAGCCTCTGGGGAGTCTTTGCTAATTACATTAAGCATTCTCGCTGATTAACGATGCCAGCAGTAAGGAGCTCTCTCCACGCCTCTGGTTTTGACCCTCCTCCATCTATGACATTTCTGTCCCTCCATCGCCACAGTTGAGGGAGGAAGAGAGCTGATCTGCACCTTGCTGGCTTTGCTGGACCTCTTCAGGTCACATCCTTTGCTGGACCTCCTCAGATCGCATCCTAACAGCTCCTCCACACAACTGTGGGCAACAGCAGCTGTGTGATTTCAACAGCCGGCCAAAAAACCTTTAGCTCTGCATCTCTGGAGAGGGTAAATTGGAGCGTGCCAGCATTCTGCAGGCCAGCAGAAGCAGCAAGGGCTGTCCTCGTTGGTCCCCATTGCAGTCATGGGTGACAGCTCCTCATGCCTTACAAACGAGGTCTCCAGGAGGCTGGCAACAAAAACTCCCACCAAACCCGGCAAGCAGATCCATCAGCCCCGCTCCTTGGGTACGCTGCTGGCGATAAACAAACTCACGTGCCAAGCACTCATTTAGCCAAAGAAAAAAAAAATCCCCTTTGAATGTGAGTTCCCATCCCCACCTCAGCCCCCCCATCTCTGTTCTCACCTTTCCCACTGCTGGTAAAAGCACTTTATTAACTTCCTTGCAGTATCATCTTTCCCACACACCCCTTGATCTGGCTGAGGTGCCTTCCCCACAGTCCTTGCACCTTCCCAGGACCATTTCCTAGAAGGTCACACTTCATCCTTCCTTCACCCACTCCTTGGCAGCAATTTTTCTCCCTTTTCAGCATGGTCTTCTTGGCCCTGCTCTCCTTCCCAGGAGACCAACCAGGTACTACTTGCCAATGTGCAAAAGAAGTGCAAAGCATTGCAAAAATATTGTCCTGATCGCTGATGTGACTTATCTGGTGGTAACTCCCAGACCTCTTGCAAATAGAGAGCAGAAATTGGGACTCTGGCCAAAGAGCCTGCAACCAAAGCATTGCTAAAGGCCAACACGCAATCCTCCAGGGTCCATTACCCTATAGAAACAACAGAAAATCAGTAAGATGAGCCCTAGTCCCAGCCCATTCGACTGTTTCTTGAGAAAACACATATGTGTGCAGAGGGGACATGGGGGGTAGAGCTCCTTTATCCAGACACATTTCCAGATATCCCTTTCCTAATGACATCAAGGCTGAACCCCTCTGGTTCTGTGCAGACAGACCATAGCTTGATGCCTTCTGCAGTCCTTCCTAAACTAAATACCACCTATTTTTTTTCTTCATGAAGCTGCATTTGGAATGCACTGGAATGTTTTATTACCAGGGGAAATTACAGCAGTGGGGAGCTCTTTGGAAACTCAAAGAGCAAAAACCCAGATGTTAAATGTCTCGTGTTTGGGGCAGTACCTGCGTTAGAGTCAGCTCAGTCTACTGGTACTTATTCTCCCAGATCTCACCCAGTGGCTGTTCCCACTTAATGTCTCACCAGGGTAAGTGCCTCCTAACTTCTCCTTTGAAAGCCCAGCTCAGTTCCTCATGGCCTCTTTTTGGCTCCGGTGGGAGCGGGATCAGACTTGAGCGGGTCCAAAGACACATCAGTGTGAGACTTGGCTTTCTGAGCACTGGTAAGACCTTCATGGGCTCCTGCTGGGCCACCTGAAGGAAAGCAAGAGGGCAATCTCCAAAGTCCTAGTTTAACGGAGAGAAGAATCAAAGCCAACACTGAGCTTTGATATGTGGCTGCTCAAACCCCTTTTGACTCCTGATTAACCTCAAAAATAATCACCAGAAGTGGGCAGATACAGTGACTCCCACTGCAACATCCACGGCGCCAGCCAGCAGCAAGCGCGAAACATTGCACAGCTGAAATGCAGCACACGAAGCTCAGCTTAGGTATTTGCACAGCATCTATTGCCTCTTCCCTCCTTGCGGCACTGCCCCAAATTATCCCTTACTGGCTTTGCAATTGCTTTGCAGATGAGATGCAATCCATTACTACCAGTTAAAAACTCCCTTACAGAGCAGCACGAAGCATTCATAGGCTAGCAAGCCCCTTGGCCAATAGCTCTGATAAAAGATAGGAGAAATAAAGGTACTGGTCACCTTCCAGCCCAAGAAAGAGACTCGTGCATTGCCAGATAATCAACGAAGAGCTTAGTCAGGTACAGGCATGCTTCATCATTACATGGAGCAATCGATAGCGCTCTTTGAAACGGGGAAAGAAACACGCCGCAGGCGTTTACAGTTCATCCGTGTACGGTGTGCATTTGAAACTGCGTCAAATTGCCTTTGGATCGCTGCCTACGAGCTGCTCTGTTGATAAAGGCAGGAAGCCAAGGTATCCCCTCGTAAAAGGAAGATGAGTTATCCTCCTGCAGCACCAGGGATTCACCTGGAGGAAACACCACGGGCCAGAAACCACCAGCCTCGTCAGCTGGGATGGCGAAGAGAAAACCACCGGGAGAAAACAGTCCGCTCTCAGGCTGGTTCAGCCATGACTTCTTCATTCCTAGGGCTGCTGTGGTGTGGAGAGGTCCCAGGGATAAATTTTGGCCATCTGTTGGCTCTGGGGGGCTTGTTACACCCACTGATTTCAACGGGAGCTGCTGGGGGTGCAGCATCCTCCTCCACATTTCAGGTGCCTGCAGGCCTCTGGTCTTTCTATCTTGCTAGTCCTTTCTGCAAGGCAAATATCCTGAGACAATCCCAAGGAGACCCAGCAGTGGGTAATGGAGCTAAGGTTAGACCAAGCTCCTAGCCATTTCCCCAAATCCCCCATCTCTCCCTGAGCCTGCAGATGCCCTGATGCCTCCTCCCTGCTCTGCTCATCCCATGCACCATCGCGTAGCAGGACCCAGGTGGAAACCTCCCATTGAGATTTCCCTGTCAAAAAACCACATTAAAATATGTTTTTAAAACTAGGCTGCAGAGGAAAACCAGGTCTCAGCTGATGGTCAGGCGGTGGGAGGAGAGAGGAAAGCCCTGTTACGGTGTTGTTGCAAATTCACTTTTCTCACCGCACTTGATTTCTTCCCTCTCCTCTTCCTGAAAGACGTTTCTCACTAGTCTTCCCCGATCCACAGCTGAGACTTTGCCACCTCTATCCCACCCAATGGAGATGTGCTAACACATCCTGCCCCGGATGGAAGCCCATTGCTTGGGGATGGGTCCCCCCCTTGGGGCTGTGGAGATGAAGAGGATGCTACCTAGGCTACCTCCGGTTGCCCTGGCAACCACCAAGCTGGAAATCCCTATAGCCAAAAAAATCAAGGACTAATTACAGAACAATACAAGGGGGAGGTGTTTGAAAGTTAGTTCTTTGATGGAGTCAGGAAACGGCCCCCCTGTTCATGCTGCACCCCCGGCCTCTCCAAATGTGTCATTTGGCAAAGCATCAGCTGAAATGCAGCTGGAGTCAGGGCTGAAGACCCAGAGACACCCAATGAAGCTTAAGGTATATAAGTAAGAGGTGCAGAAACCCCAGGTTGTCTCTAGGGCGGTGTGAAGAGAGAGAAATTGCTCCAGAAGGAGATGAAACCCACCTAAGACCAGACCCGTTCTTGGAGATGCCCCATCTCTCCCTTGAGCATGGTGGAGCGGGACGTCTGCTCTCCTTCGGCTTCTGCTTCCTACCCCATCCCTGGCTGCATCCTCCAAACCTGGCTCCCACCCAGCATCCAAGTGCACCCAGGATGAATCAGTTCAGCTCACTCATCCAACAAAAAAAACCCCTAATCTTCCTTCTCCCCCCTTGGTGGATCAGTTTTCCAGCAAATTGGGCTGCCCAGCCACAGGGTGACCAGCTCTGACACCAGAATGGAGAAAACAGAACCTGTCTTTTCAACAGCAGCCCACCATTGTCCCCCACAGGGACAATCTTTTTAGAAGGGCCAGCTGTGACAGGACAAGGGGTAATGGTTTTAAACTGAAGCAGGGTAGGTTTAGACTGGATCTAAGGAAGAAATTCTTTACAATGAGGGTGGTGAAACCCTGGCAGGGGTTGCCCAGAGAGGGGGTGGAGGCCCCATCCCTGGGAACATTCCAGGCCAGGTTGGACGGGACTGTGAGCAACCTGATGTGGTTAAAGGTGTCCCTGCTCCCTGCAGGG